ATAAAAGGTAGGGGGTCAGGTAGCTCCCTTGCCCTCTACCCCGGCAACTTCTTTTCCCTTCAGCCTCTTCCCCACCTCCTCACTGCTTTCTCTGAGCACATGGAACTGAGGGGCAAATTTAAAAAAATTTACCTTGCAATCAATATATCTGTAATTAGCCTTACAAGTACTCATAAACTTAAGTTCATCCAGAACTGATGCATGTTATCGTTTTCAAACTGCTGCAAGTTTTAGCACAGGTATTCTATAAACACATTTTTAAGCAGTACTTTTGTACCTACTTATATGGTATAAACTATACATATTAGTCCAAAGCCAAAAGACTCATGATATACCACATAGTTCATTGAACTGGGCTCCAGCAGAGTCAACAGCGTTTCAAGACATGGTGACCTCACAACTCAGCACTATCCAGTATTTGTGTGTACTCCAGGTACCCTCCACAAAGGATCCATGTATTAACTGGGAACCCATTCATGACTGGAACTAGGTGATCTTGTCACAAGGGCTGGGATCCTCCAAGAAATTATGGACAAATAAAGCACAGGGCAACCTGGTCTGGCTCCACCTCAGTGTGGGTGGGGCCACACTAATCATATGTGACAAGCGCAAAGAGAAGGTGAGACGGACGGATTCTTGGTGAACTGTTTGAGGCCAGCTTGTTGATGTTTGCCAGGAATTCAAGGCTGGGGAAAAATAGGAATCATTTGAAATGGGAAAGGAAGGCACAGCTCAGCTGTGAGAGTGAAGAAGTTGAAAGGCATGCAATGTGGCTCACCATGACTTGAAAAAGAGTCAGCACCAAGGGGGACTGCACTTAATGGGTTCTACTATACATCTTATTCAGATGGGGTGCACTAACCTATGCCTGAGCTTCTGAGTGCCAGCCTGCTATTGTAGTACCTCTAGACTAGTGCTTGTTCCCTCCTTGGGGAACAACTGCCTTTTTTTTTTTTTTAAGGGCAACATTAAAAAAGGTTCCCATCAGCGTGTGTGTGTGTGTGTGTGTGTGTGTGTGTGTACACACATTTTATATATAAAAATTTTTCAGCTAAAAATAAAACAAACAATCAGAATAATTATATTTACTCAAACACAAGATGAGGTTTTTCCCCCCCAATCAGCATGGGGGGAAAAAACCCCTCGTCTTATAGTTGCAAACAGAGAAACCTCATTAAATACATTGTCTGTCATTAAACTGCTGCCAAAAGCAGCATGTGCTCAGTCATGGAAACCAACTATGAAGTTGATTAAATACAACCAACGCTGAACATGACTATAAAACACATGGGCCATATTGGGCAAACATGCTGATGGACACCTTTTGTGTGTGTGTTTGTGTGTGTGTGTGTGTGTGTGAGTGAGGTCCTTAAAAAAAGTAGGCAGTTGCTCCCTCAGAAGGGAGCGAGGACTGGTCTGGAGGTACTACAATAGCATGCTGGCACTCAGAGAAGCTGGAGCAAGCTCCGATACCCTTATACAAGAATAGGTTAGCGCAGCCCATCTGAATAAGATATATAGTAGTGCCCATTGAGCGCAGTCCCCCTCAGTGCTGACTTTTTCAAGTCATGGTGAGCCACATTGCATGCATTTCAACTTCTTCATCACTCTCACAGCTGAACTGTGCCTTTCTTCTCCATTTCAAATTATTCCTGTTTTTAATGCAGCCTTAAATGCCTGGCAAACATCACCACATGGCCTCAAACAGTTCACCCAGAATATATATGTGTGTGTGTGTGTGTGTGATAACGATGCTTATATATATAAGCAGCATTAACACCATCATCATCATCATCTTGCCCACAAGACACCTCACATGCTACATTTGGTAGCAGGCCCAATAGGAGATGCAAATAGAGCTAAGAGATGAGATGCAACCTTAATGTCAAAGCTGGAAATGGTGAGCATGCAATAAGCTAGCTCCTCACATGGGAGTGACAGCAACTGCAGTTTATTAAATTATATTGGCAACAATAAAGCACAGAGACTTACTTGAGACTCTCTTGGGAACTGGAAGAGGAGCGGTCAGACTGAGGCAAAGACACAATGCTGTCCGAGTTCTTCAGGTGAGACTGCAGGGCTTTCTGATAGGAGGATTCCAATGTATGAAACAAATGTTCTGCTTCTCTGCTGAAGTGATTGTGGAAGCCCCAGTAACACCTACAAATAAGATCCCAGGACAATACTGAATACTCTTGGGAATATTTGAGAGCCACAGTATCTCATACAGTCTCAATCCACAATGGCTCATTAAATGAACCATTTGGACAATGCATTTTTTGCTGGGACAAGCCTGAAACATAGCACCCAGGGTGACACTGTTTGGGGAAGCACTTCCACACAGAGCAAAATTGAACAGAAACAGGAAGCTGGGATTGGGAAACAAGACGGTGAGACAGAAGGGGCCAGGCTAGATGATCTGTTCAGGTCCTTCCTGACCCTAGCCTCTATGAAACTATGAAACAGTATTTGGGGTCATGCTTACAGACCAGGAACAGGACAGGATTCTGCTATAGCTCATACCAGGGAGATTAGGAAGAAGAGCACAAGTAGACAAAAGCAGTAAAGACTGAGCAAGGTAAAGATCCTTCAGTACACTTCAACCATTAGCGTCCACATTTGGAGGGGGAGGGGGCACACAACAGGTACTAAGCACAGCCAAGGTGCTGAGTAGCCCATTCACCCACAGTACATCTGCAACACTGTGACCAGAGTGGGGTGTATAGGGCAGCACTCAGAGAAGCTGGGGCAAGCTCTGGGATAGGTTAGCACAGCCCATCTGAATAAGAGGAACATTTCAGCACAAGGGACCTAATCCTGTTTATTACTGAGAGTCTCCTGAATAACGATGAGCACCTTTCACCTCTGTTGCAATCAGTAAGAGCTGGGGTCCTGGGCCCTTTTCAGAATGAGGCTGAAGGACAGGCTGAAAACAAAGCTATTAAGTGCAAATTAATCTGGAGTCCTTTGTGCATGACAGCAGCTCCACAGCAGAGGAAGTCATTAGCATTTTTGTGTCACTGTGATAAAATGCAAAAACTTCAATCTAAATACTGCCAACATCTTCATTACGAAAAAATAAGAGAGGTGATATACCCTATAAAGCCTCCTGGAGTCGGCCTTGCTATCCATCAAGGTGCCCTGGCTGTAGCATCATAGGGGCCAGGAATCTACTGTATTTTTATAATACTCCCTCCCCAAATAATGTAATACCTTTTCTTGTGGTGAGCCACCATTGCCCAAAGGGGAGCAATGAATCATTTTAATCCTTTAAAACACATTGATGGAATGTAAAATGTGCCTTGGGACACCGTTTTCCCTTCTGCAGTAAGTCCACCTACAATCATCTTCTCTGGACTTCAGAGCAAATTCTCAGTTTACTGACAAAACTGATCCTGTATATGTACACATTAAAAATTCAGCAAAACATTGTATGGATATGCTAATGACAGAGGGAATTGCTACAAATTCAAGAAGTATTATTTAGCAGCTGAGAAAAAATGATACTGCAGTATGGTACTAAATTTGGCACACAGTAGGTGCATCTACGTGTGCTATTAAGCAAAACAAACTCCGGCACTTATTGCACCAGAGTTTATTGCTCCCAGGCACTGCATCTACATGTACACACAAGACTGAAGCACACTGAGCCAGGGCAGAGCAGCCCTGGCTGGCAGGGGGTTGCGGGGAGGGGGTCAGCCTACCAGCCTGGGGCTGCTGCGACCTGGCTCAATAGTGCTGCAGAGGGGCTGGCTTGGCCACAAGGGTGTTTCAGTTCAGGGCTAGCCAGCAGGGAGCTCTTGCACTGAAGCACTCATGCCCCAGCCAGCTGCTTCAGCATCTACACGTGCGTATCTTGCTAATTTTTGCAGGAGTAAAAACCTCCGCAGCAGGATAGTACTTGTATTTGCAAGTACCACCCTGCTGCAGAGTTAATTCATTTACTCCAGCCTAATAGGGCTGCACATGTAGATATGAGACATTTACTGCACAGCTATTTAGTTTACTCTGTAGTAAACGTCTTGTGTAGACATGCCCAGTTTTCACACTAAATGACAACATCTTGTAATGTAGTGATAAAGGTACTTTAGTTTCAAAATCCACAAAGAACTGTAGCCTCCAGTCTTCACGCCAACAAAAAATTCCACTAAAAGGTGATGAAATGTGAGAGAGAGAGAGAGAGAGAGAAGAATCAGGCTAGAAATCTTAAGAGATGCCTCTTGGTTAGCTGGTGTATAGAGAGCACAACACACTTTTTTCAGATATTATATTGGCAGCTGATAAATAAAAATTAGCAAGATACTCCTGCGCTCTTAAGAACCTACGTTAACATGCAGAATAATCCACGCAGAAAACAAAAAGTTGCAAGACCACCTGATTTTAAGCAACACTGTAAAATGGAGACTGCTAGAGCCTAAAGGAGTTACGGCACCAGTTTTATTATTGTGATATTCGTACTGACTAGTTTATAACCCCTAAAGCCATCAGAGCCAGGACAGGCCCTGTGTGTGTGTCCTGGCAGCAGTTCACCATCTCTTAACACCCCGCATTTCTTGAGTTGAGTAAAAAAAATCCACTCACTTCCTTGCCTCTATCCTTGCTTCGGAGTCAGCGTCGTGGATTCCCTTCTTTATCGTTTCAGCTAACACTGATATGTGTCTGAAAGCAGAGGCAAACATCAGTCAGCTGGTCGCAGACGAGCCTGTAGGAGCTTGCCGACTGTGGCTCTCAGAACACAGCCACCATTTCACCGCACCCCCATGCCCACATCCTCCGATGTATTTACTCATACATGCCAGCTGTGTTTTGCCCCATGCTGTTGGATTAGAAGAGGCAAGCAGCATTCTTCCATGGTCATTCCTAAATGACCATGGAAATGGCAGGGGTGCAAAAGTCATCCCAACCTTTAAAATTAGCTTTGGGCATTTTGGAGCTAATGAAGTTGGAGTCACTTACTCCCTACAATGTGTTGTTCTCCACAGATGATTAGTCTGGCTAGACACAACACGTTGTACTTACCTCCTATAGGTGGGGATTAGCCTTAACTAGCCACACTGGTTTTAGGACGTGGTAGGGAAACTCCTGAATTTTAGGGAGTAACTATGCTTTGTTTCTAGGGGCAAAGCAGTACTCCTCCGCCCCGGACTTGTACATCAGGGAGCCAGACTTTCAGAGCTCCCTAATCCCAGTGAGGCTGTCTGGCATCTTTAAAGAGGCAACAGCATGTTCCAGTCTCTGCATCTGTCCAGCTTCCCCAGCCAGTGGGAAAGGGGAATGGGCCCATGAGCCTGCCTTCTCTCCCACTTCTCATGGGCATTGCCCAGTGATTGCCAGGGAGTGTATTCTCTACACTTAGGTGAAGGCAGAGGCAGAAAATACGTCCCCTCCTACAAATTTCAGTGATTAAGCTAGAAATGTAAAGGGGCAGGGAAGGGAAGGGAAGGCTAACCTTCGAGGCTGAATTAGACAGAGCAGAGGCTTAAATGTGAACCTCCCCCTCCCACATTCTGCATACATACCCTAATGTAAGGGGTACATACATGTACATACCCTAAACCACAGGCTGTTGGCTAAAAAAGTCTGGCGCAAGTGGAACCACTTGTAATATTTTTGTGAAAAGCGGTAACCATTCTTGTCAATGCCTTTGGTTTCAATAAATTAACATTTTCTGATTAATTTTATTAAAAAACTCCTGTTGTGCTCCAGGTAGGGTGTTTTACGCCCTCGCTTTGCTGTGGTAAAGATCATTTATCTGGAAGGGAAGCTTGTATACTCGGATCTTACCTTTCTAGGGAGTGCGTTTGCCATTCTTGTAACAGCAAGTCTAAAAATTCAAAGCAACGCCTGAAAGAAAGAGGAGAAATAGTCAGCGTTATTTCAGTTTATAAAAAAAGAGGCACACTGCCTTGACTGCACCTGCTCCACACACCAGTCATCCATCATTAGGGGCCCATTATGGGACACCAGAGTTCAGCAAAGAGCCCTTAGGAGAAATACTGCCCTTCCTATAAATAGCTTTTACACTGAAAGAGTATTGGCATCCACCATAATAAAGGTCTGAAACTCTGCAGTGTCACCATTGCATAAAGGTGGTGTATTGCATTATAGCAGTAAAATATAGTTCTTGATGCTTTTTGTGTTTTCGGTCTCCCAAAGATGGGAGTGAGACATAGTCCATCAAAGCTCGTATGAGTTTGCATTTGTTAGTTCTGTACAAATATGAAGCTTTGTAATAAGCCTGTGAGGAAAGCATTATTCTCATCTCCTTCCTTCATACTTAGAAACTGAGGCACGAAGGGACTTGCTTAAAGTCTGTGAAAGGGCTGCAATCGGGTGGCCACACAAATACCCATTAGCATTATTACACAGGACCAAATCTAAAGGGCTGATCTAACAAAGGGCTTCCAAAAAGCTGGTGGCAGGGCAATAGTTGGATATTAAGGCCAGAAAAGACCACAAAGTCTAACTTCCAGCATGAAACAGGTCAGTGCATACAGGGATGCGATGGCTGTACTCTGCTCTGAAGGGGACATGCCACCACCACAGGGGTTCACGGCAGAGAACAGAAACGCGGCTCATGCCTGGGAAGACGGCCAAACTAATCTGATCATAATATAAGCAGTATCTAAGCATGCATAAAGATTAACAAAGCTAACTTTTATTTCAAATCCATTTTTCCTTGCGAGGAACAGAAAAAGATTCCTGCCTCTATGGCCCCCAAAATTTTACAACCACCCTTTTGTCCCAAATCTCCAAAGCCACCTATGGGATTTAGGCACATTCACGCATGTTACGGAACGTGTGCATATCTCCTGGATTTGGGGGGTATGGTAGGTAGTGTCAGCCTTCCTCCTCCTCCTATCACTTTTTGATAAGTGAACCAAGTCATGGACAAACAGGGGAGAAAGGTCAAACTGAGTGCTCACCTTCTAACTGCTACGGACTTAGAGGTACAGTTGCTGGTGATGATGGGTATTAGCCGAGGGATGTGAGTATGCTAAAACAAGAAAAACCAGAGAAAACATTTGAAACTTGGTACCTGTGGGAAGAAAGCCCATTTCTTGTAGTCACATGCAAACATTTAGCTTGGCTCATTTTTTTCTTCCAAAATACAACCCCACAAATAAGGGCTATTGCTAATAAAGCCCTGGAAACGCCGTCTTCGCTTTCTCTTCTTGTAACAGGCTCCACTGAGCCCGACAGCCGCCGGGGTCACTGTGCTGTGAGAGACCCAGATTCATCAATGGACACAAATCTCCAGCTGCTGGGCTTGCCAGGCCCTCCAAGCGTGCCAGCTGCGTCACTGCAGAATCCCACCCCCGGGTGATTAACGGCTTCAGAGATGGCATGCATGGAGGGGGTAGGGGAGGTCAGCCTGAGAGGGTTAAAACTAAGTTCAGGGCCATTAGTTAAACTCTCCGAAGACAGAAATGCTTTACTTGTGCAGAGAGCAGGCTTTCATAATACTGCTCACTGCCACAGCGCACATCCTCCTTGCTCAAAGATCTCAAGCTTCACAAGTTGCCTCTAGCCTGGGTCGGTGCAAGTATCCCCAGGTGGACTATACCCATCTCACTATACCCTTTGGCTATCAGGGGACAGAACGGTGAGGGGCCTGGTCATGCCTCGCTGAAGTTACTGGGAGTGCTGGCACTGGATTTCAATGGGTGCAAGGCTGGAATGCAAGACAGCTGCCAAGTATCATGCATTAAGGCTGTGGTAAAGTCCTGAGTCTGAGTGCTGCGTTGTAATGACAGCCCACTCCATGCCAGAGAAATGAGTATTGTAAAAAGAATTAGAGTATTGGCTTTTTAAATCAAGGACAGACAGAAGGCGATTGAACAGCAGAAACCCAAGACTTATCTATGACTAATAGGCTTAGGTCTTGCAATGTGTCTGGAATCTAGAGCAATTCAGAAGCTTGAGACTTGGAGCCTTCACTTACTGACTTGCAGCATTTATTTCCTATAAGAGTCACTAGACCGGGGTCTTGTCTTACTTAAAGGAACTGTAAGAATTACTTCCTTTTCTGGACTTAGCAGCTAGGACATATATGAAAGCTTTGTGGTGCAACCTGAACCAGTGCAACAAGGCCTTTATGACCAAAAACTGTTATAAGTAAGGTTCAAAGTGAGGTAGCTAGCTAATGGCCACCAAAACACCAAATACTGGCTACAATTAGTGGCATGCCTATCGCCTGACTGCCAGCCAAATGCTCTCTTCCGAGATGGTCCAACAGCTTCCACTGGACACGTCAAGAGGCAGCTGTTGGACTCAACTCCAAGAACCACAAAAAATGGAGCTACATCCCATGACAGTGGGAAACTTATCACTCCTCCTATATCGCCCACTCCCCCCTCTTAAACCATGTCTTTCAATAGCTTTCTAAAAATCTGACAGTGTGATTGGCAAAAGGAAAGTCACGTCTGACGGCAGATACACCATCCAGAACTCAGGAAGATGGCCAAGTTGTGCTCCGTTTAGGTCCTTGATCTGTTCCCTCTGGAAATCTTCACATGCTCTCCAATATTCAGATCTGCTCAGAGAAAGGCCCCGTGTATCAACCAGTGATCAAGTGTTGCTTTCTTTTAACATATACTTACTCTGATGATTAATCTAACAGCTACAACACCAGAAGTGGCCATTACTTTGGCACTGTTGGGAATTAGATTAAAGATGGTTGGCATAATGGCTTCTGCCCCGTGGTCAAACTTGTTTCCCAAAATCGACGACAAATGTCTGAAAAACAAAGAAGTAATGCTGGTAAGCACTCTTTGGACTAAGCTACAATACCTAACATTAGCTATTTCAAGTCTTTGCAGTCCCCTCTGATTGCAGCAAGGGATGAAAAATAATAAAATAAAAAAAAGTGTGTCATAATCTCTTTCCTGCTTCCATCACAGTCCAGTAAAGTACTTTGTCTTCATCTAAATTTTAACAAGCAATACATTCAGTAGCTGGAAGTCTGCCACATTACTGGCATTGGCAAACATGCACTATGGGATTCTGATGAACGAGTTGGTTTTTTCAGCACTTGTCAGGTTCAGATTTGGGTTTCACTGAAACACGCTGCCTTGTCTTGACATCTGCAAATTCCATAACCTACAATTAAAAGTGCCCTAGTGCCCTTTCTGCAAAAATCACTGCATGGCTGCACTCAACATGCGATTACCAGTGATGGGAAAGGCGACCCCTGGAAAATAAAAACTAACCTGAACTTTCACCTCAAACTCAGGCTGAACCCCAAGGGAATACACTTTATATTTCTCAGTTTTACACGCCTCCTTGCCCAATGGATACAGCTATCGCAGCAAAAGGGCAAGTGTGAAATATCATATGAAATATTCTTCTATTGACCTTTCCGGGTTGAGCATAAACCAAGACGGGTGGGAAATTTCTCTGTGCTTGCAAGATTTTTACCCTTGTTTTGCAGAGTCAGAAAGATCAGTATTTCCTGAAATCAAAGCTTGTGCAGTTTGCCCAGCCCTAATGAAGACACTGATTTACATGAGATGTATGGTTTTTCAATGGAAACAACGTTCAATTAACCTCCATGGGTCTGATTCTTCAGCCCCTCACCATGATCAAGGTCTGCTCGCTCTGTAACCTCGCTGGTGCAGATGGCCCGTAAGGCAGAACAGAACTGTACTGCAGCCACCATGCCTGTAGCTACTAAACCACTCTCATTCACTTCAGAATATAACAGAGACTGAGTGTGTGAAAAAATAGCCTGGATGAAATCAAACTGAGCTTTGTCACTGCCTTCAATGAAGTCAGGATCTTGCCATTAGATTATAACGGATGTGCTTTCGAGCTGGTTTTTACAAGTGAGTACAGACTATGACTCTGGCTCTAATCCAGAAAAGCATCACTATGCAGTATCACTAGTCAGTAAAGTACTTATGCCTATGTTTAAGTAGGCTTATACCAATGCTTATTGGCTTTCCCAATTCAGAAAACGATCCCTGGTAGAGAGAAAGGCATCGTCCAGATATTTTTGAAGCAGTGATTATCACAGGGTCTAGGTACTGGGACAGTTCTGGCTAGGGACTGACATCAGATATATTTATTGCATTTCTTGTGTTTTAAATCTGACTCGATCCTACCACCCCTATTCAAAACTGACACTGGAAAGCCATTAAAAGGATGTGATTCAAATACCAGGGAACTTTTTTATTTTTATTTGTTTTTTAACACGGGGCTCACTGAATGGCATGTTGTAGCCTGGAGCCTTCCAGCTTCTCAAGCCTGCCTGGTGCTGAGCCCCCGGTTCTGAAGAAAGTCAATGGGACGGTGGGTGCTCATCTCCTCCAAGGTCAGACCAGAGCTCAGTTTGTCTCTGCCCGGTCACAGAAATCCATAACTCATCCCAAAGGGGTGGTTTTGGTTTTGAACCAATACACTGAAATTATGCCTGGATCTCAAGCACGTGGGGTCATTATTCAAATGTTTAATGTTTAAAAAGAAAAATGCGATACCCATGTAGGACAAACGATTGATTGATCTGAATTTCAAAAATTAAATTCAGTGTCTGTTCACTTAATATGTCCAACACCCCCACCATTAAAAACCCATTGATACACGATATACAACCATGGAGAACCACCTGCATAAACCTGGTTTCCATGCAGTTTGGCCAAAAGACAATTCGAACATGCATAGATCAGTATCAGTGTAAATCCATATCCTTGGGTACTAGTGCAATTGTTTCATCTGACTATACCCTTTGGCTGTCCAAAGGGTACAGACTCACAACAGGGCCAAATACCATAATAAACAGGGTCTGCCTTTCATCTAAATAATGCTACAACAGAGTTTAGAACATGGAGCTTCATATTCCTTACCCCAACGTGATACAAGCCTCTCGCACTACCTGAGAGCGCAGATCTTTAGCGGACAATTTAAATGCTCCATCCAGCAGGCGCAGGTGTTGGAAGAAGTTGTCATATTCAGCAGCTCCAGCTAATAGTAAGGATCGGATCTTTTTCAACTGTGGGCAACATGAGATTTAAAGATTTAACACACCGACACAACAAGGCGCACCAACATCTGTTAACAAGAAAAGGCCACATTCACAGCTGCGTTCACTTTCAGCTTCCCCATAAAAATATCCGACAAAGGGCACCTGACGCCCAAAAGCTTGTCCAACAGCTCTCCCAACTACGCAGTCGGTCCAGTAAAATATAACACAAAAAAACCTTGCCCATCCAAATATAAATGCGCTGAGGAATACAATTCTTAACACAAGCCACCCAATTTTGTGTCAGTTCATATTTTAGGGACCAACATACTGAATAACTGTACAAATGGCAACTTCTTACAGGACTGCGACAGGAAACCCAAAAGCATCATTTACAATTTGAGTAGTGATAAAAAGTGCTGATGAACAATACCTTAATTTTTATTATAATCACATCATGGAAGTTATTGGGATGTTTAAGCCAGAGAAGTTGTTCCTTTGTTCTCTTTTATACCCTTCTATTTACAACATGTAAAGGGAGGAATATCTCGAGGCATTAGAGTGCAAGGTACGCGTTCAAATGCTGCAATCCTTCCACAGCTAAAAGGACGATTTGAATTTAAGAGCCCTGGCTCAGACCCTGAACTGACCTACACTAATGCAAATAGAGAACATCTCCACTGACTTGGTTAAAGTCAAGTCTCGTCTACACCAGGAGTAACAATGTCCCTATTGAAATCTACAGAACAGAGAAGATCTTATTCTGATTTACATTAATGACATATTGTGCTCATCTATACGTAAGGATTCAAACATGCCATCCACATAACAAGCCCTATTTCCCATCACTTTGCTTCTCTCACAGGCTTATCTGCCTGTGCAAAAGTGGGTGCAAAATGTTACTAACTAGCTTACATCCTGCATACAGAAGTGCAAAGCAGTGTCCAGCACGCAAGGCACTGGAGAACAGCTCCTTTGGCCTGCAGCTGTCCACCCCGCTGGAAGGCAGTAAGGAAATTCATTGCAATTTTTAAATTCACTTTTGAAAATGTGATTCTGAAGCCTGAAAGCAGCTCTTTAGTTGTATCTGTTTTGGCAAATTCAGAGCAGACATCTCGTTCTATATGGTTTGCTCATGATAAGCAACTTCTTCTAAACCCAAAACTTCATGGCTCCCCTAATGAAGGAGGTCCCCATAGCGCAGGGGTGGGCAATTATTTCAGGCGGAGGGCCACTTCCTGAGTTTTGGTAAGCCATTGAGGGCCACATGACTGGCAGCCAGGGGCAGATAAATATTAATTTTCTAAATCTTTAGGGGCCCCATGGGCCAGACAGAATGGCCTGGTGGGCCACATTCGACCTGCGGGCTGCATTTTGCCCACCCCCGCCATAGTGTAATATCCACCCAAACAGAGGGACAGAGCAAGTCACTTAAATGACATGTCTGCCTTATTCGATGTAGTACGCAGACTTTCTACAGGGCCTCTGCTCAGGGCTGAATTTTACTTACGAAACCCACAGGTTAAAACATTTCAAATCTAGGTCCCATGCTTACGGCAGCCACTCTCTGTTCCCAGTCATGCTTATCATCAGATAATATCTCTCTAATTTTGTTTATGGATTCTTCAAGGTCTCGGCTGGAATAAATCTGTAAATTAAAAAAAAATAAAATAATAATAATAATAATAATAATATCAAGATACAGGAAATGCCTTCCAAAGCGAATGAAGGGATTCCTCATCTAAATGCCAATTCCTTCACCCCCGAGTGCTGAGATACACTTTGCAATGCCAACACCCAGCATATCTGGCTCTGAAGACCCCAGGGACTTGCACACATTACACAATTACTGTCAGGAGTGGTTTGGGGTTAGCTGATCCTGCCTTGGGGCAGAGGGCTGGACTAAGGCATTTTGAGGTCCCTTCCTATTGTCTATGAGTCAATAAAAATGAAGACAATACAAGTAATTGCACAGGATGCATAGTGTTGGGGTTTTCTTTGTTTGGTTTGACTATGATGCAGCTTGACAGTTTAAAGGAGGTCAGCATTTATTTCTGGAGCAAACTTCGTGCAGAGTGCGCTCCTCTAGAGTGCCACGAAGAAACACCAACAGAGACAGCAAGGCAAATAGACAGCATCTGATGCAGAAGTTGTGCCCAGGAAGTGTGAGAACCCCCTGCTGCCTAAGTCAAATCATTCGTCGCATGAGTAACTGGGCCAAGGAAGACCTGTTTAGTGCTTGAAGGGCAGGTTTTGCTCCAAATAATCTATTAGCCACAGAGGCCATGTCCCCGCAAGCAGG